CCGGCGCGAGTCATCATTTTAGTTTCGTCCGGATTTTGGTGCGATTTTGTCGCGACGGGCGAGGAGGTTTCGAAATAACGCACCTATACGTCGACGTATTGATCAATTCTTCCCTGCATTTGTTGCATTTGTTTTTTTTCTTAGATGAATCTATACTTAGCAAAGCATGTCTTTCCAGAGACGTTCCATGCCGATAAAAACCAGGCTTAGACCAAAGAGAATCAGCTTGAGACGCTCATTTCGAACGCGTCCTTCTGATCACACGGCCATTATCTGCGTTGATCATCATCCGGAAGTAAAGGTGAACCCTTTTTCTCTCTTTCTAGAAGTTATATTTCATTCTTAGATTGTTTTGCTTGCTTACTTTAGCTGATTACTGGACTTTGAGTATTTATGCTAACGTGTACTATTTTGGTTTTCAAGCGCTTTTACGAAAACGAATGGGATGACGATTTTGCGTTGCGATCCCCGAAGCCAAGAAGGGAACGCCGACCTAAGCATAATCCTGTTCTTGAGGAGGTCGGAAGAGTTTCCGCATTATGATTACCATGATTCACCTATGATATAAGCTCATTCCAGGATTTTATAGAAGAGGAAGAAGAGAATGTTAATGACAATGATGAAAGCCGCGAGAATGTCGATTCACAAGTGGATAGTGATCTTCCGGCCGTGCAAGAGCTGAATGAGAAGGCATGTTTTTATTTATGAAACTGAGAAAGTAATGTGCTTCTTTTGCGGTTGCTCATTTCTTAAAATGGTATGAGCTTACAAGACAGTCATTTTCGAAATTTTGGAGGTTATGCGATTTTTGAACTGCGGTTGCTTGTAATGCTTCTTCTGAACTTCTTAAAGCAGATTTTTCATCACATGAAGAATGTCATCTACGGTTCAACTCTGTGCAAAAACTGGCATCAATATTGCCGGTTCCAGTTCCATATTATTTAGAGTACACAATTCCAGTTCAAAATTTACCTGGCATAGCTCACATTTATCGTACCGCATCTCACGAGTTTAGAAAAATCACTCATTTGACTCTCGCCTTTTTTTCAGTGATTTGTATAGTCGTCCTCCCCCCACTAGACACTCGGTGGATGGATTTGAATTCGAGCCGGAGCAAATGTTTAGCGTCAGAGCGCGGCAGACGCCGCCTCGTCAAAGTGTGCGCAAAGGCTGTTTCAATTGGCAATCTCATTTTGGCAGACGTAGAATGAAATGCATTGCGTAAACACGTCAAAAGCGCACTTCTCACGCCTAAAAAATAGCAATTTTTGACGGGATCCTAAAGAAACACTTATGAGAAGAGATTTAGTCCAATAGCAAAGAAGTACATAGTTTGAAGAACACAATCTACTGAAAAATTGATTCACAGTTATCAACACTTGTGAATGTGTTACCTACCGGAAAGAGTGACGTTTCATTGAAAAACCTTCAACTGCATCGTATTTCCAGCTTTCTGAAAAAAAATGTACGGCAAACGATAATAAGAGCATCAAACGACGATCAGAGGCAACAATACCTCGAATATGATACAATACATTGCCGCAATATGAGTAATAACAAGGAATCACAAAGAAAAATGGAAAAACAGCCTTTGCGCACACTTTGACTGAGGCGGCGTCTGCCGCGCTCTGACGCTAAACATTTGCTCCGGCTCGAATTCAAATCCATCCACCGAGTGTCTAGTGGGGGGAGGACGACTATACTCAATTCGGAAGATGAAAGAGTTTATGCACATTGTTCATCCCGCACGTCATCATTTCTGACAGTTGGCTTAGCCGGAATTTGGAATTTACTTACAAGGGAAGGATCATCCATCGAAGTGGGGTTTCCACACATGATGCATATCATTCTGCTGCTCTTGGGGCCCTAATGCCAAATTCGTGATCCTTAGCTGCTCAATGATTTTCTGGGCAAAGTTATGAGCGATGGTTTACCCAAGATGCGGCTAAGGCTCGCATTGAGCTTGCGGCGCCAAGGGCATGCAGATGTGGACGGGTGGTCGAGTGGATACCTGCGGAGACTATGGAGCAAGTGGTAAAGAGTTCGGACCACTTTTGCAGCCACAATCTTTGCAAGTTGTTTAAGGTTATATTAGAAAGTCCCTAAGGCAAGGAAACCCTCATTGCAACTTAATTACATCAAATCTCGGAGATAATGGAAAAAGTTGCAAAGTGCAAAGTTCTGAATTGGGCAATGTTGGTAGATCAGTTGGATCAAAAACATGTAAAACAGGTACAATCAACATGGATACTTGATGGGAAGCTTATTCATCATTTGCAATTATGTTTTCGCCGCAGGTGGTAGTGGGGTAGCTAGCTAGAAAGGCGAGGCGAGGATAGCAAATGGGAGAGCTTGGGAGGCGTTAAGGCGAGGATAGCAAATGGGAGAGCTTTGTGAGTTTTCTCATAAGGAAAGCGATACTTCTGAACTATATTTTTGCAGGGAAGACATCGGGAGGTATCATTTTGACCCTGATAGGTCCATGCTCCTTCCATCAAAGGTAATTCGTTTGTTTTATACGATCCTGGTAACAATAATTTTTTATTTTCAGAAAAAGCGCGTCGTGGTCGAAGGCAGCAGTGTTACCAAAGAAGGCGTAACGATCCAGAAGACTGAAAACGTTGAAGATGAAGATGAAGTAGTCGTAAAAAATTAATGCTGTTGTCATTCTTAACCGTAGTTCTTTCGTAACCTTGTGTCGTAATTGCGGTGCTTTGATTCCTGTCTCATTTCGATGTTATTGTAAACGCTACTCGAGAAGATCATGTGGTATTTGCTAATAAATTTTATGACGTAAGACTGGGTTTATCAGCAGAAAAAAAACAAGCGTGGGAAACGGGACCCAACGTGACCAAGGACTCAAGGTAAGTCAAAAGGAAGGCGTGAGAGAGGGCTTAGAGGACGCAAAAAGCTGTCAGTAAGGGCGTAGGCCGCGTGCTCTGAACGCGATCGCGACATTTTGGTGTCTCGCGCAGGTCTCCCCATTTTGCCCCGATTTTGCCGCGCACTTTTGCCGCGACACAAAATCAGGTGTCCTGATTTTGCCGCGACACCGATTTCGCGAGTCGCCCACGCATTCAATGGCTACACATCGTTTTGCCCTGCGCGAGTCAACCGCGAGTGTCTGAGTGATTAAGGCCGCTCGCGCCCACGACGCACCTGCGTCTCTCTCGCGCGAGTGCTCTCAGATCATTACCTAGCCTTAATTAGGTCACGAAGCCTCGCCTTCCAAGCCAAGCCAGTTGATTCAAATGCTACATTCGGTGTCAATTACGTACTTCCTTTCGCGTAGGAAAGCGAGGGCCTTATGTGCGGACCTCTAATCGATGAGACCAGCTTGAATGCTCAGACCATACGCTCCCGAAAATGCGCGGAACTGTGGTGGGCTTGCGGAAAAAGGAGCACGTGACTGACACAGACTGTAGCATGGTCAGACGAGGTAACAGCTATGAAGATCCTCTGCTGTTCAATATATTCCCCTCCCCCCTTCCACCTGCATATAAAGGTGCAGGGAATTGATTTTGCCGTTGAAAGTGAAGATCTCCCATAACATCGAATTAGTAGTTACGCCAAAAAAAGCCCAATTACTCGCTAGAAAAGGTTATCTCTTACTAGATCTATCGCCTCTATGTAGCTAATCCGCTTGACACGAAAACTGGATTGTTTTACAAAAATTAGGGAATCCCATGGTTCCAATCATGAACAAAACCAAACGCTTTGCTCATCAATGACTTTACACTCCGAATATGCCCTTTTGAGACCCAGAGCTAACAAGGGAAGGATGGTTGGTCGAAGTAGCCTTTTGAGGTGGATTGTATACCACGATGGAGAGAGCATAAAACGCTGATTCCAAGTCTGTCTTGCTTATCTGCGGCGCGTTCTTGGAAGAGGAGTTACGAGCGTTTAAAGGAGCAAAAAATGAATGTTTTTCTGGGATAAAAGCAGTTGCTAAAATTTTCCCAGCGCTTGAATGAGACAGCCGGAGTGCGGATATGTCTCACCCAAGGGTATTTATTTCATAGAGTGCTGGAAGACTACCACTGGTCCATTCAACCACTAGGAATAATGTTACTACTGTTTTTATATTATCTGTACAATCGATTTTTTCTCCAATAAACGCTCATAATTTCTCGTGCAGAAACGCGTCGCAGATAAGGAAGACAGATTTGAAATCAGCCTCTAACGTGGTATACAAACATCGCAAAAGCCACTTCGACTGACATCCTTCCCTTGTAAGACACAAACTTTGCCGATTTCCGCTTCCATTATATAAAATTCGTCTCGAAGTTCTCAAGAGCTTCTGGATCTCCTGAGCTATACCGGCGCCCTATTCAAACCACCCACTACATTTTGCCCAAAACAGGATCGACTCCTTCCCTAATCAATCCCACTCCCCTCCTTCTCTCAAGAGTGAAGCGGTGCAACAATCGCTCAAGAGTCTTCAGTCGAAGACGTTTCCATAGCTTTGAGCAATTACTGCTTTCGGACTAAACATTGAAGATGGTGCATCCGTTGGGCCTTTCGCAATTCGCATGACTCCTATTCTAGAGCCATTAGGGATCGTTCAGACCGCGCCGGAACCCGCCCAAACCCGCCCAAATACGTCCGAACCCGCCTGAACTGCGAAAGCGCAGCAGGTTGCATGCAAATTAGCATATTGGAGCACGCGTGCGATTGATCCTTCTAATATCGGAGTAGTTGCAAAATAAGATCGGTATGTAACGTCGAGCTACGTGTGACTGAGATATATGCACTACGCGAGCATTATTCCACGCCTGCTCCAATATGCCAATTTGCCGCATATCCGCTGCGCTTTAGCAGTTCCAGCGTTCAGGCGGGTTCGGACGGATTCGGACGTATTTGGGCGGGTTTAGGCGGATTTGGACGTATTCGGGCGGGTTTGGACGGATTCTGGAGCGGTCTGAACGATCCCTTACGAAACCAGGCAAAACCTTAGCACAGCCTACTAGCGACATTCCTTCTACTGGTTTCTTCTCGCATTGTTCAATGCTTTCATTGTTGCCATATCACATTGTACAGTCAGATTCTAATGTGCAACTTTAAAGCGCAAAAATCATTGATAGCAGATAACAAAATTTAACAACATAAAACCCGCTTTTACATCTGCAGAGCTATAACCATGAACGCCTGGGAGTCATTAAGACAAATTAGCAATGGTTAAAATAAAAAACAACGACATAGCAAGCTCTATCAGTGATTATTGAGCAGTATGTCCATAAGCTCAGCCATCTTCCTTTTTGCTGCTGGTTCTGACATGTCTCTCAATGATGAAGCAATGAAAGCACCTGCAAAGCTACTCGTTAGGAAACAGTTACAATTCAACGTAATTCAAATAAACAAGTCGAAAATTACCATATCTGTCGTATTTATCCATAGTTGAAGCTGACAGACGCTCCCGCAAAGAAGCTGTAACTTCTCTGATCATGTCAAGACCTGAAACAGCTTTTTGACCCAGATTGTATGGAAAGTTGCAGAAGTATCAAATGCAAAGATAGATAAGTCGGCTCTTTGAAAAATCCGTACTATCTCAAAAAGCGACTTCAGGGGATCTCATACCTTCTTGCAAAGAATCATGCTTCTTCTTCTTTGTCGATACTGCACCACCTGTGTAGCTTCGTTTGCGAGAAGGTTCCTCCAGTGCACTATCTTGTCCGAATTCGGTAGGTACGAAGTAATCATCGTTCACTTCATCCGATGCTGCAGCACTTGCTCCTTCTTCCGCAGTCCCTTCGTTCTCTGGTGTTGCTGACTTTGGGCTATCCTCCACTATACCACTTTTCAAGTCATCCTCGTGTGGAGAAAACTGCACTCTAGAATGAGAAGTGCCCAGTTAGTTGCAAAATATGAAATTATGAGTGACGCTCGAAACTCACGAACTGCCATTCTTCATCGGTAAATCCATGAATTCCATGTCTTTCTCGTACATCCATGTACCTCCTTTATTGGGTTGTATGGAATTCCTTCTTTTCGAGTCACGTAAAGTTTTCCATGAAGCTTTCAATTCCAACACTGAAATCAGCAACAATTTGTGTCGAAAAATTCGAATCCGAACCCGTATCCTCTAGAATATCTCTCCTTCACGTTGAAAACTCCGAAAAAAAAAGCTTCCTATATAGGTACAGCTGCGCACAGATAACTTATACATAGCTTTCATTGAGAAGTGGATTATCTCACATTACTTTTTAATGAATTTTATCAAGAACAACGAGATTGTGTAAGGTGCCAGAGTGAACCAATTACAAGTCAAATATGAGCTTATATCTCCATTCTTCGAAAAAAGACTTACTTCCGCCACGAAATCCCATCTTTTGCAATTTACTCAATATTCGCGACCAAGCAAGATTCTTCTTGTCAGGTCTGAAGTAGTCTCTACACTCCGTGTTCCACAACATTTCCTCAGCCTTGACCAGTTGTATTAGTTCTTTCTTCAGTGAAACACTCATTCTGAAAAAAGAAATGCCGCCGTATTGAAAAACAGTAGTGGAGCCTTCCTTCCCAAGAAGCACCACAGTAAATTACAATCAGATCTACAGATGTTCTCTTTATTAAGAAAATGGTGACCTTAAATGATTGGGGACCAAATTGTGCATTGTGCACTACAACTATTGATTGTGCTTTAAAATTGCTACTGTGGCGCGGTAAAATCCGCATTTCCTCAAACAAGGAATAACCTTTGACCCTAGGGTGCCTTGTAGCTGTACAATGGTTTGTGTCCGAAACCGATTGCTATGTGTAAGAAATCGGATGCACAAACTTGTTGGAGAGAGGAAGACTCCACAGTGAAAAGATTACATTTACATTGCCCTACCGTTTCCTAGCTGAGTTTCTCATTTCTTCCTCTTTTGGGTCGCCGAAAACTGTAGTAAGCCATCTTTTCACTGCGGACTCTGTCCTGCTTCTAAAAGGAAAAGCTATATGAGCAAATTGAGGAAGCCCTAGTCTGAACTAAGCACATCTTCCATTCAAATTCATTTTCCATCTTAATCAAAAATCCATTTCAGTGCCTCTTCAGAACATATGAAAATTACCGCTCCTGTCCAAAACTGACAATGGCCCTATTACCAGATTTAAGACTACCGAAACGACACGTGTAAAGGGCGAAGTTTCATAATATTATATCTAGGAATCAAAAGTTGCTATCAATGAGCTGCAAAAGTTCGCCATACGAACTTATGGAAAAAAGGCTTTAGCACAACTACTGTTGAAGACAGAATAGTTCTGTGTTAGAATTAAGAAAAGAGCTAAGCGGAGGAAAGGAAAGATTTCAAGATCTATGTGGACATAGACGATGCGCAAAATATAGTCGAGCGGATTTGGTTGGCAGTGCGTGCAAATGCACAATTGCATATCGATCGTACGCACTAAACTCGTTCGAAGGATACTTTTTCTCAAAAATTGTATCCACACATTTCTACGAATATAATCCATATGTTTAATGAAGCTGTATATGGTCAACTCAAATATTACCAACAAAGGCAGGATGCATAAAAGTGGCTGGGGATAGCTTTGAATGCACATCTTGGAATTCTGATACGGTAGTTTGCAATAGGAAAAGGTGCAAGACCGGTTGTACAGTATGCCTTGCGTAAAAGATTCCTCCGAATCCTGAGCGTAAGTGCCACATATAAGACAGTTTGTCAAGCCAAACCAAACGAGGAGTTTTGAAATATTAACCAACTATAGTGCTTTGATTCAGTGGATCTTGTTATTCAGCCTTGCGTGGTTGCGTCAAATGAACTCATTTAAGCGACTACCCAAGGCGGAAGTAAGGGCAATGCATGGCGCATCAAAACCAGTGAATTATAACACTCCTTCGCTATTGGTCAAGCCCCTAGGTCGACCAGTAGCAAACAGGACAGGACAAACCGGTTGAAACCGGACGCACTTCTGCCAATGCAAAAAATCACTTCCGAATGTTAAAGGAACGGCCATAGGTTGCCGGCAAGGTTGTCGGTGTTGTACAGGGCTTTTCAACCTGAGAGTCGCAAGTTTCGCTTGCGCGGCTCCTCCAACGCGGCCGCCTCGCTCAGGTCGCGCGCGGCGTTTGCTGCGTATCGCCCGGATTTCGCCAAGCTTCAGTCGACACGCAGCCAGCGCCACGAACGCTGCGCGGACCTAAGCGTGGCGTCCTAGCGGGGCGGGTGGGACACTCAGGTTGTAAAGCCCTGTAGGTGTTGTCGGGGTTGTCGGGGTCAGAGGCACGAGAGCGCGCGAAATGTGGAGACTATCATGAGGTCCTACAGACCGGCAACCTCGGCAACGCCGACAACACCGACAACCGTTGCCGTCAACCTATAGTCGTTCCCTGAGAGAGCTCTAGAAGGTCTAATCTGCGAGGGCGCCCATCGGCGGTGATCGTTACTGTATCCGCGCATCTTACTATCTTGCGCTACTGCCACTTGACACTACAGCCACTGCTCAAATACTGTAAAACGAAGATTGCGAAAAACTTGAAACAATTTCAACCGTAGGTGCTGGATGAAAGGATAGATCGCTGGCTTAAACCACATCTCCCGCACATCCGGGACTATTGTTACAAATACGCAATCAATTATTGCGACTATCATAAGTCTGTAGCGATGGCCCGCACAGAAACAGTCTTTTGCCAAAGATTTGCCTAGCTTAGATCGAGGAATGGACAATAGAGCTCGTTTGAAACGGCTTCGGCTCTCTGCGACACGGCTACTATAGTTGTAACGAACGGAGATTTTCTTCGAGTAAACGAATTTCGAATAACTGATTTTTGAAATTTTTTCGAACGAATAAATAATCAATTTTCGAAAATTTTTCGAATGAACAAATATTATTCGATCTCCAGTTTTCATACTATTCGAACACAAGTAACTGAATACGCACATTCTAGAATTCAAACTTTCGGATATTCGAATAACCGAACTTGGTCGAATATTCGATTACTCAAATATACAAATTTTAAAATTTAACTCGAATATTCGCATGCAATGGTCGTGCATTGCATTGGAAAACAGTTGTTCGAAAATTCGAACAACTGTTTTCCAAAAGTTCTCAAAAATTCGAAAAATCGAAAAACCGTGATTTAAAATTCCTCGAATATTCCGAGACGTCGTATGGAATAAATTAGATATTTTCGAATAAAGATCTTTTCCATTTATTAGATTATTCAATAGTCGAATAAATGGGGTTCTCTATACATGACTATTCGAATTCGAATAAATTATTCCAATACAGATTTTCGGTTCCATAGCGGCTACAGTCTACCCCAATCCCAATCAAACCAAAATCGGCATGACGGGAGTCCGCGTCGCTAGGGTTCTGCGTCACGCCTACAGGCTGCTTGCCTGCTGTCTCTTCGCTCCGTTAGCTCTCTCCGACAGTGCGCATATGCAGCGCAAAGTGCTGGCGCTGCTTACGCGCAAATTTAGCAAACGGTTCGGCCTGACTCTGATTGGGGCAGACTGAAAGGTACTCCGCGATGGCGCAGTCAACGCGTGCGAACTCTGCTATATATTCTCAAACAATCGCAAATGATATTCGGGGCAAACTGTAGTTCTAAAACTTCCGATGGGCACTCCCACTGCCAGGAGGGCGGGACCCTCCCACACGGCCCAAAAGTTCGAACTTTACTTTGCCCCGGAAGTCATCTGCAATAGTCTGAGCTGAGATCGGTCTCTGCGACAACTCGTTGGCGGATGCTGGCGCCGACTGGTGCAGCTATACTGCCGATCATTTGTTAGTACGATCACCAACATGCACATTGCACGTCAGGTCCTGGATCTCGCTGGCCATTTAGATGAATGTACAGGGCTTTTCAACATAAGAGTCACAGCCTCCGCTTGCGCGGCTCCTCCAACGCGGCCGCTTCGCTCAGCATTTTGCGAAGCTTCAGTCGACGCGCAGCTTGCGCCACGAACGCTGCGCGGCCCTAAGCGTGGCGGCCGAGCGGGGCGGCTGTGACACTCAGGTTGTAAAGCCCTGTACTAACGAGTCTACTAGCTCTTCATCTTATATCTGGAAAACAAGCAGTGAAGTAAAATCAGAGAGTTCTACCAGAAATGCGTATCCCTGGGCCAAGAGAATCTCGAATTTTACCGGTAATATGCACCTCGTGTGCAATCGCACATGATAAGTTTCCAGGACTCGACTGTACTGCAATTCCACTGCTAGCAACAAAGTACTCACATTTCATTCTGCGCAGTTTCCAGAAACAGTAGATGTTTTTCAAAAGTCCACGGCCTGGTGTTTGCGTTGGACTTAGTCAATGTATTTTTTCGCCATTGATCCCTGAGATTCTTCCAGTGTGTTTTTAGCTCTAGCACTGAAATGAGCAATTTACGCATATAACTCATGAGTCGATGGAGCCTCACATCCTCCACTGTATCCATTCTGTGCCATTTCGGCATGTATTCTGTTCCAGCTGGCATTCTTCTTATCAAGACGAGAGTAGTCATCGATGTTTGTATTCCAAATACATTCTTCTTCCTCAACCAAACTTATCAATTGACATTTCGCAGCGTAGTCCATAGTCTGCAAAATTCAATTTACCTCCTATACGCGGTAGCGAACGATGCAAAATATAATATACGCTACGGTAACTAACAACGTGACAGTCAGGCAGGCAAAGCGTGGTTTACTTCAATAGCAGATACACATTCTGTCTCAATAGCAGTTTATCTCTTGCATGGGTTACGCAAGCGGACGCCGCGCGCAGACGTCGGTTCGATTTGAGTGCTCAAATGAAACGCCAAGAACGACACGTAAAGCGGTCGCGAGGCGGATGTGCTAGTCCGTGAGAGACAATGTGACTGGAACAGGCTGTCTTGTTTGTGAAAACCATATCTGGGCTTTTCATCAGTTGAGCCATCAAAAGCTCTGTGCAAAAATCTATGCTTTGCGATAGATTCATATCACATAGTCGATTTCGCGTAAGAATCAGAGCGGGTTCTGCAAACGCGCTACGGACGCGTTCATACTGTCATCGATTGACCACAGCGAACGCATGCGCGCAAAAACCCCCACCATGGCAATCTCAGTGTGAGAATTTCTCTCGACGTGAGATACGTCAGCGATGCGAATTTGCGATCAATGGGCAAGAGTCGGGAGTAGCGTCTATTTGTGCACACTATTGACGACTATATCCTTCCAAAACTTTTTACTGAAACCGGCGCGTTAATGGCGGAAAGGTATGAATGAGTATAGATGAACGATAAGCGGACTAATTCAACCTCTGTGAAATCGTCGGGAAACTCAGCTTACAAGCTGTACTTTAACCTTGCGGAAAACTCAGTTGAGAAGAGGACAGTTCGGATATATTTGTAAGCACTCAAGGCTGCCTATGCGCTGCAGGTGCCATACTCGGATTGATAGCATGAACCTAAGGGAAGGAAAAAACTGCAACTGTAACTCTAAAATGTGTTCAGAATCCGCAACGCATGAATCTAGACGGAAGCAGTTGTTTAGTAAACCAAGAGAAAAAGTTTGCAGAAACTTCAAAAGAGAAGTAAAGACGTAGCTTGCCGCAATGTCTGAATGCATCAAGGCAGCGTAGAAATGCGCGCTCGTCGGCTTCGCGAGGTTGGCTGACGCGCGTGCCTGCACGATGCCAGCCGCTATCGATCGCACTGACCTGGCGCGAACTATGGACGCGCGTAATTTCGCCGCGGATCTATCGTGCGGCGAATTTGCGCGCGACCACTCATTGTGTGTGCGCTCGGCGATGTGCAGCGTCATGCCGTACGAGCGCTAATGTCGACATACCGGGTGAGATCGCGTGCGAAGCAGCAGATGTGCTGCCCTCGCGTGGACGCATATAGTGTGTTTGCCAATGATGGCGCGTTCAGAGCGGACTCTCGGCGCTTTTATGGACTAGGGATCTGAGGAAAGCGACGCGCGTAAACTTAACAAGTTGAAAACGTTGCTCCGTCTTATGCCAGGTATTTTGCAGTAGAAAGTGGGGAATGAAAATACTAGAGTAGGTCGGGTCTGCGTGGCGTAGCGCCTTGGAGGTGAAATTCTAAAAAAAGCCTTATTAATGGAGCGCTCTATTAAACGGATCACGGTCAACTGCAATGACAGTGAGAACGACCAAGCTTTCAGAATTTGCGTTGTAGTGTGAACAGTATGGGAGCCCACAAAAGCAAACTAGCATCATGCAATTTTTTGCATTTTTTCCCTATGACAGTCTCACATCTGACAGATAAGGCTCCGCGTCAGTATATTTTGCTGTAGTTTCGCTTTATCGTTCCGTTAAAAGACTAATTATTTTATAACATTCATTCTGAGAAGACTAGGAGAGCATACGTTTTGCATACACTCTCTTGACTCTAAACAAGCTTGATTGGATCTCGGAACAAGATCGATTAGGTGGTTCACTAGTTCTTAGACACTTGTAATTTTTCTTATCTAATCTAATCGTATACCACTTGAAACCATGGAAGTATAATTATCCCCTGACTAACAGACGCAAGCACGCTTTGCGTACATTTGGTTAACAAGTTTATGAATGAGTTTTAACGCGTTTGGTCAATTATCAATAGGAATTCCTGGAAGCACGTTTTCGAGCCAGCGTGGTCTAACAAGCCTAAACATGTTCTACGAATTCCTGGTAGAAAAACAACCAGAACGCGTTGAACTCATTCATGAACTTGTTAGTGAAGTGTGCCCAAAGCGTGCTCGCGTCTCTTAGTCAAGGAATAATGATATGTACAAGTTTAAGCTTGTTTAGACATGGTGTACAAAGCGTTCTCCATCCTTCTAGTGGCAGAGCAGATGATGCGTAATTTTTTCCTTACATCTGACGAGTACTGTTTGAATTTGTTTTTGTAGTTTGATACTGTTTGAATTTGTTTTTGTAGTTTGACTCTACTAGTACTCCATGTGAAATAAATAACATGATAAAGAGTTCAGAATGTAACGTCTATGGGAATGCGAACTTGTTGTAAATGCAGACTGCGCATATATTCTGGAAGCAACTTGGCAGATTTCCTGTGATTAGCGCTAACTAGAGAGAAACTCACTGGACATTTGAGATGTTCCTGCGAGTGGAGTGCTGTTTGCAAAGAATAGGCTTTTACCAAGAGCTTTGCAACCATCTGAGAGCCCTCTTTTTCTAGTTTCCATATGTTTTGCTTTCATTAAAGCGGTAGTTTCGAATTACCGTGCTTTAGAAACAAATAGAGCCATTGACAAAAGACACGCTTCTACAATTTCTAAAATTTCTCTTCTTTTTATTTCTGAAAGAAGATTTTGAAAGCGTGCAAAGTTCTGTTAACGTGCACATGACAGCGATCGAGTTATATGCTACAAATGCACGTTGAAACTAGACTTCCAGAGATACTTGAACTACGATCGTTTGTCCTTTTGCGCCTAAAAAAAATGATCGCAAGCTGTTGGAATGTCTTCTGTACATATAAAGTTTGTTTATAGGACATTTGGTAATAGGAAATTGAAAAGTTGTTCCAATTTTCCAGCATTCACATAGTAAAATCGATCAAATAACACACTTTTCGCCTCTTCAAGGAAAGAAAAACAGTGGTTACTTTCGAATGTTCTTTTTATTTATTTATCAATTTATTTACTTATTTATTTATGTATATTTATATATAAGTATCTGCGGAATCTCCCAGCAAAAAAATTTCTTCTTTAAGTGGTCGTTAGGTTTGGCGAGGACAGTGAAACAAAAGCGCGCAAGAATTTGCATACGAACTCTTTGAGACTAGAAACTTTCCTCACACCCTGTTCTGCTGAAGAACAGGGTGTGAGGAAAGTTGAGTAGACAGTAAAGGAATGACAAGTTCAGGCTCAGAGAACTATGATTCTAACCCGATCAGGTTTGGGCACGAGTTTCTTTCCCCGCGTTTCACCTTGAAATTACCGGAAACCAGCCCTGCACAAAGGAAGGGTGTGCCCAAAACAAAGTCTCACGACTACCGCAACTCATCACATCACCAACTATGTCACATTTACCTACAGCTTTGCGAATTTCATGGAAAACGAGGTCGAGATATCCGTCACACTTTTCTTTGGTTGCAGATCAGCCCTCGTTTGTCACAGTTTACGAGAAACATCTGGATATGCACCACTTTTCTGTTTACTGTCCTCATTGCAGATTAGTGACCTAAAATTGTATGATTTTTCATTGCTAGCCTCATTTGCTGCCCCTAAAATATGGAGACTACGTTTTTCAAAGTTTATGTCCTTTTCTCTAATTTCCACGAGCCATGTAACAAGATTATAGTCAATATGAAAAAGGCAACTCTATTAGCTGCTTTTTTCCAAATTCTAATCAATTTCATTTCTGTTTTCTCCAATGCAATGCCCCAATCTTTGCGTTTGTTCAGAAAATTTGTTTTCAACGATAAAATTAGGTTGGAACGAAAGCTCTGTCACACCACTTTCAAAAATTCATAACTTGTAATTTTCTCAACCAATTTGTTCGGTTTTATTGTTTGAAAGAAGTCATGTTTCTCATAACACTATCTCAGCAACTTTCTACTGAGCATACATTGCACATATAGCAGCAGTAGTAGGAATACTCAAATTATGTCTGAAATTTGCAGTAAGAAACAGTGAAGTCGGATTAGAGTCATTACCTGCCTTTTCTAAGGCAAAGTTTTTTCTCTATGAAAAGTTATGACCAGGGTTGAGCAAGAGGTCAGGCACAAGTCTTTCCAAAACGACCCCCCCCCCCAGTGAAAGCCCCTAAACGACCCCTCTGCTTCACCTCCAGGACCTCAGGCTGTGATAATTCGATGAGATCAGCCGTTTTTGGGAGGTTCTTGTTTTTTGGAGGTCTGTAGGTCGACTTTCTGCGATTGCACAGCACATGCAACTTGACGGCAAGTTTTGGATTTTGGATAGCCCTACTTTTAGAGCTATAATTCCCACAGGGGTGCATTGTTTGGCTCCATATTTGCAGTATTGCAAGAAGAGGCTTTGAGTTCAATACTCATAGCAGAAATGGAGCGATTTTTCGATTTTGAAAACAAGTTAATCGGGTCAGGCGCAACCCCTCAAAAGCTCAGGCGGCCTGACCTTTTGTGGGGTTGCGCCTGACCCGATTAACTTTATCATTGAAGAAGCTTTTTTATTCAAGTTTTATGTGAATCGCTAGCACCTTCGAAGATTCCACAGTAAGTGTTTGGACTTGATTCGACTTGTTTCGGCCTTGTGGTAATCCGTGGAGCTGAAGCAGTCATGGCGAAAAACGCGCCGGTCGGAATTTTGGCATTATTTCTTACTCCACTATTTGCAAGCGATACAAAGCGCGATTTTTAGCCTAGACTAGTAGGGAACAATGCTTTGTTACGAGTACAAAAAAATTGACTTTTCTCACTTTTGAAAACAAGTTAATCATGTTTGAAAATCACGCTTTTTAGTCGTTGAGAAACACTAGATAATGCAGTAAATAATGGTTTGTAGGGCTCATAGAGGTAATTTGACGTGCTCGGAAATGATTCCCATTTCACACAGCAAGCTTCCTTGATGAATTTATAATATGTCAAGGTAGAAGATGAACATTTGAGTTTTGG